ACTAAAGTTTAGTAAGGATAATTATGTATACGGCTTACTTTTAAATGCTTTAGAAAAAATGGACTGTAGCTATTGGCTGTATACACACACACACAAACACACACACACACACACACACACACATGCGCTCACACACAGTCACACACATAACTGGGGCAGGAAGAAAATGCAGCGTACTCAAACGACAGCCCTTTTCTTAGAGGAGAATGATTCACTATTTTCCAAAGGAAGATATTGGTTAAACAACAAGAAGAATGTGAGGACATATTGTAACTGTATTCTTTTCTACCCTTGGTTGGATATACTTGTGTGAAATGTAGGCATAGATAGATAGTTGCCTTGACATTGATTTTGAGACTTTCTTTGGCTAAATAATTGGATATCTATGTAAAGAGAGTTGTTTTCTTTTAAAGAGAGGTTTTTGCTGTAGGGAGTGCATGCTCACTGGAAAGACAGAGAGACAGAAAACAAGAAGTCACCCCCCAGGGGGGATGGCCATGCTGCAACCCCTTCTCCTCCAGTCTTCTCTTCGGATTTTGGGCATTCATTCATATGCACCCAGTGTGAGTCTGAAGCCACTGGGTCCAGGACTTGAACCGTGGTTGGCCATATTGGAGTCCAGTGACGTAACCACTATGCTATTTGCTAGTCTTTGGTATCTATTTAAAAGAGTGGTGATTTTTTTCCTCTTGAAAATCAGAATATAACTTCTTTTCACATACTAGTCTTAAACATTTGTTTCTTGACGGTATTACACATGTGCTTTTATAGTTTGTTGTTAAAATTAGATACTGAGCTTTTGAATTTGAAAGTCCTTCATACTTTTTAAATAGAAGTATTTTTTAAAGCTTATTTCTTTTTTCTTTTATCAGAGAGAGAGAGAGAGACAGAGACAGAGATAGAGAGAGAGGGGAGGAAGGGAGGCATTTCCAAAAGGGTATTCAAACTGTGATCTGTCCCCAGCCTCAGCCAGTTCAGATCATGGGATGCATGCCTTTGCCCCTAGCATGTACAGGGAAACCTTGGGATGTGAACCTGGGACATTTCCATGTAGGTATTTCTTATAATTCTTTATTGGTTATTCTACAGATATGACTCAAGTAGAAGGGAGCTGTCAATAGACCTCAGTCTCATTTTTCCCCACCTTGATCTTTGACTGTTATTTTCTCAGTGTGGTAGGAAAAAATGAGGTTGGAAACTCATTCATATTTCATAATTGGTAACCTAATATTTTTATATTACCAGTGTTAGGCAAATATAATAAAGAAGTTGCTCTTCAAAAACTCAGAAGTAAGATGAGAAGTTCTAATACTTCTGAAAAAAAAATCTCAGAAATTTCTTCTGTGGCATTTTCAAAAAAGTATGCATGGTCTTAGGGACTGAAGACTTTGGCTCAATCTCAGCTTGATCACTTACTGTGTCCATGGACAAACTGCTTAGCTCTGCTGACCCATTGTCCTCTAAAATATCGCTAATCTACTTTGCAGGACTGAATGTGGGAAGGTATCTGAAAAATGCTTAGTATAATTCTAACCTAGAGTAGAGTCTTTGGTAATTCTAACAATTCAACACTCAGCTGGAAAAACACTTGCACACTTATGTTTATTGCAGCATTATTCACAATTTCTAGGACAAGGAATGAACTAAAATGACCAAGAATGGACGAATGGATTGAAAAAATGTGGCCCAATTACTCTATTGAATACTCATCAACTATAAAAAACAATGAGACCCTGATATTTGATACAAAGTGGATAAATATGAAAGATCTAATGCTAAGCAAAGAAAGTAGAGTGTGAAAGACAAACATTGTATGTCCCCACTCATTATATACTGAATGTCTGCCCTCTACAGGAGAAATGGAAAGATTGGAAGGTATAATAGAGGGAGGCCAACTGTAGATACTAGAGACAGTATAGAAAGGAGTGGAAAATAGGGGGTGGGTGTGACAAGATCAGTGGAAAAAAAGCGTTTAATAGACACAAAAATGAAAAGCTTTCTGTTGATGATAATGAATATAGTAATGTCTTTGACTTGAGTAGTATGCACCATATTCATGTTGGGAAAAACCTTGTTGTATATTGTAAAGATGTACAGTGATTAAATGGAAATAGAAAAACAAACAAACAAACTGGTTCTATCATAGCTTAACAGGGAGACAAAGGCTGCCCTTAGAGCCCTGTCTATCATGTAATGGGCACACACTGGTTGAACAGGTAAGCTTGGTTTGATCTAGACATGGGCATTTAATGGTGATACATAGGAGATTCCTTAGAGCTCATAATGTCATCCAATGGAGGTGAGAGGAGTGTTGTTAGGGTTGGACTCAGTCTTGAAATTCTCATCAATTACTGAAATTAAGCATGGTTTAAAACTTCCTCTCAAAATGCATGGGCTCAAGTTGGATCTCAGAGCTTTCAGAAAGAGAAACCAAGTGCTGTAGTCTTAGACTGAAACAGGTGTTAGGTTCTATACTTGAAATCTTAACTTTGATGAACTGTAGTCAAAAAGAAAATTCTTTGAGATTGACTTTAAATGCCCTGTTAGATGTACAGTGATTAAATTTGACTGGACTAACATACAATGTATTTTTGCTAGGAAAATTCATTTTGTATGTTGTAATGATATACAGTGATTGAATGTAAAAAGAAAAATTTAAAAAAATCTGATTAAAAATAAAATTAAGAGGGCCAGCAGGTGGTGTGGTGGTTAAGAGAGCTGAACTCCCACATGGGTGACCACAGTTTGAGTCCTGGACCTGGCAGCTTGCTTTCTTACTCCCCCCACCCCCACCTTTTCTCACTCTGTTCCTCTCTTGTCAAACTAAAATAAATACATAAATAAATACACAAATAAATAAATAAAGTTAAAATAATTCTTTAAAAAATAAAAATAAATAAATAACTTAAAAAATAATTAAAAAAAACAAAACAAAAAGAGCTACATAAATCAGCCTTGGCAAAGGGAATCAGCTTTTCCGAGGGTAAAGATACTAATAGTTAAACACATGGTAAACTACTATACATGGTTTGCTGTTTAGACCATGTGGTTGAACTTAAGTAGACAATACTATTCTCTATTTCTTTTCTTTCATTAGTCCTAAATGAAACTCATGTAATTGAGTACATGAATTTAGTAGAATGTCTCCCATTTTAAAATAATCATATCTGAAATAAATTTTTTCAAACAAAAATCAAGTAAAAAGTGCTTTTTCCTGAATCAGTGTAGATTTAATATAAGTACACATCTTCACCATTTGCACATAGCACTTATTTTCATAACTCAGAACAACTTTAAATCCAACACTCTTGTATGAATTTTTCAATGCCTTCCAGTATGTGAACTGGGGAATTTCCCTGAACCTGTGCTTAGCATAGATCTCTCCAAAGCAAACATTAATAGTCACATCCTCCATAACTCAGATTAGACTATTAGCAAAATAGTAAACGACCTAATCACCTACCGACCAGCTGTAATAAAACTGAACTTGGTAATTAATGTAATCAGCTTATGAATTGATCCTTAAACCACTTGAGCCTTAGCTTAAGACTTTTAGGTATTTTGGATATTCAGTTTGGCTAAAAACCATAAAATTTCTTCAGGGGCCAGTGGCGAATTTATTTTTTCTGTCAGTTTTTTACTGTTGCCCCAAATAGGTAAAATGTTATTGCTTTACCTGTATATTATTTTATTCTGAAGCTAGAAGCATCAGAGTTAGTGTCTAAGTAGACATTAGGATGAGAGTTAATCAATTTGAGTTACTCTTAGCTTGATTTAATTTCGAACTAAGGCCAGTTTCAATTTGGCCAAAGCTGATGTTTCTAGTTTATTGTTAGTGCTGTAGCAGTTGACAAATAGGCAGATGTCTTTGAGTTGTGATCATCCTCGTACTGGTCTGTAGTGCTCACGGATCTTTGATCTGCAGGCCTACGCTGGTCCCAGAACTGTGTGTGAGTGTGCATCTAGGTCTGGGTTCATGGGCATGTGAATTTCACAGGGCCCTGAGCTTGGGACAAGGATCTGTCATCTTAAAATTCTGAATACATGTTTAGCAACAGGCCCTGCATTTTCATTTTGCATTGTATCCCAAAAATTATTTAGGCCCTCTTGGGTGCATCTAATCACATGGATATTTACATAACCAATTTCTCCACTGTTTTGGTGTGGCATGAGGTTTCCTTTCCTTCTTTTCTTTTTTCCATTTTAGCAGATATGTCTTCTGGAAATGGATTTCTTTCTTTATAGTATTGTATATAGTAAAGTTGACATATTGAAGGGAGAAATATAAAGAAAAAGAAATTCACAAAAAATGAACTGGTATTGAGCCTGAAAAAGTTTCTATGTTCATTCAGAATCAACATGGGTTTATACACAGAGTGGTTGGGATATAATTTTTGCACAGCATAAAATGAGGCCTCTCTTGAGCTGCCTTCACCAGGGCTGCTTACTCACTTTTTTTGAAAAATGTTTTTCTACCTTAGAGTTTAGAGGACACAGTATACTATCAAGAAAGACTAAATCATTCTCAAGGCCCTTTCAGTTCTGAAATTCTACTATTCCTTTAGAAATAGATTTAAGAAAAGTAGAGATTTCACTTCATATGAACATAATTTAAAGTAAGCCTTAGTTCCCACAGAGAAACAACATACTATTTATTGAGTGCTTATTACGTGCTAGGCACTTAGCATCCAAGCTATTTTTTCACTGAATCTTACAATAGTTCTATGGGGAGGATTATTTTCTTTGCTGCACTGATAAGTAGTTGGAAGCTTGGAGAAGCCAGGACTCACACTGTCTGGCTGACTCCCAAGCCCCTGTGTACAACCACTGCCCTCTAAGAACTCTCATCAATTAAAAAGCACGAGGCTAACCTTTGCGTCAAAGAGGGACTTGCCCAGGGAGTTGAATGCAAGGGTGACCTGGCTGTGACCCTACCACCCCATTGATTGCCTGGGCCCATTAGACTGATGTGGTGGCCCGGTGTCTTCTTTCTCCCTCACCTCTGTGTACATCAGGCTTTGCGTTGCGGACAACAGGAATGACCTTCCCTGATAAAGGCGGATTGGTCCTCTGCAAGGCCAGGCAGTGCAGACGTTGTTCGGGGGAGCTTCAAAATGGGTTTTTTTCTCTGATCCCAAAATGACTCCCAAAGCCTAGAGATGAACTCTGTGGGAAGGGGCTTGCTGGTTTTTTCTCTGCGTGGTGCCAACCTCTCCTTCCACACCTCCCAGGCACATTCTCAGGGCAGTTTTAGGATCTGTACTTTTCGCTTGTTCTTTTATTGTTGCTGATTTTTCTGAAAATAATAAACACATAAAGAGTTGAGGATGGGTCATCTATAGCAGAGAAATCCCTTTACATTTCAATTCATTGTCCATTTCATTAAAGAAATGGAGAGAAATATGCTGTCATGGAAGCATGTACTCAATACATTAGAGGAATAGCTTATTTTTACGCAGGAATTACCCCTGTCAAATCAATGAAGTGGGGGTCACTGAGCACATAAATTCTGTTTGTATAATTTTAAGCCAGCAGAGATAGAGAATATATCTCCTCTTATAAAAAGAAGTTTGACTTGAAATTTGAAATGGGCCTATGCTATTATTAGTTCCTGACAGGGAACCCTCAGGGAGGTTGGTGCTTATCTGCTACCACATAAATTACTTCCAGAAATTTTGAAGGTAAAGATAATCAGATGTTTTTGTTTTCTAAAAAAAAGGAAAACAAATGAGATAATGTGTGTGAAACACTCAAGAGTCTGCCATAAGGTGAGCATTCGTTAAATGCTGGCTCCATTTGTGGTGGTGGTGGTGGTTGCCCGTTTCCATCTGAGTTTCCTCATGTAATAGGAGAATGATAACAATATCCTTGTGTCTTAAGTTTTCTTTTAGTAAATACTTCACTAAATTAATATTAAATCCCTTCAAATAATTGAAATATCTGATCAACATGCAGTTCTTTTGCTTTTCCTTTAATGTCTCAGTTTCTCCAAGAAGTTTTGCTGTGATGCACTGTAATTTTAAGAGTAAATTTATATCCCTAATTTATCCATACATTTAAGGTAATTTGTGTTAAAAACCTAAGTGGGCTTTTTTTTTCTCTCACAAGAGAGAGCCAGAAAGTGAGAATTCACTTTCCAAGGGAATGGCTATGCCTCAATCTCTTCTCCTTCATTCTTCTCTTGGGATTTTGGACACAGGTACACACGTGCCTTGGGGTGATTTTCAAGCCACGAGGCTGGGACTTGAACCACAGGGTTGCCTATGTGGGATTCAGTACCTTAACCTCAATGCTACTTACTGGCCCCCAGAAAAAATATTTTTAAAAGGTATCATTATGATTGGGAAAAGGGTACATAACTAGGAATCATTATGAATTATAATGCATCAATAAATTAAAATGAATGGTTTGGTCACAATAGTAAACACTTGATGGGGGAGATTAGAAAGTTTAGAAAGATCCAAGTATATCTAATAATATGATAAAATGGATGTTCTCTCTAGTGAGACAAGGATTTGTTATTAAGTATAGGGTGCTGGCAAGCCAACTTACTCATTGGGAAAAAAACATTTTATTCTTACCTTACATTTTATGTAAAAATAAATTCTGCATGGATTAAAGATTTAAAAATAGAAAGTAAAATGATAAAAACACTTAGAAGAAATTGTAGATGAAAACCATGAAGTCTCAGGGTAGAGAAGGACTTTCAAAGCATGACTGAAGGCAGAAAGCAGGAAGGGAACAGTGGGTCTTGTTATATTTAGAACAGCAGGATGGCAAAATTGAACACCAGCCAAGGTGAACCGCAAATGATAAACTGGGACAAGTCCCTACATATGACAAAATGTAAAGATAAGGAGGTCTTTCAAGTAAGTAGTAGCATGATTACCTATCTCACAGAAAAATGCACTTGGGACTTAAGCAGGCAAGTCAATAAAGCAATAATATGGTCAATGAACAATTTGAATGTTTGATACTACTTGGAAACAAACAAAAAATGCAAATTGCAAACAGAACAAACCATGTTTACCTGTAGGATTGAGGATATCTTGTAAAACTAGGGGTGAAGAAAAAAGGATTGTCAGCCCTGAGCTAATAACAATGATACCTTTTGACTTGGCAAATCTACCTTTATAAATCTATCCTAAAGAAAATGATACATATGCAATGTATATACAAAGATGTTTATATTGGATGAAAAATGGTAGTGAACAATTGGAAACAGCTTAAGTGCTTGGCAATTGAGGACTGGTGCAATTCTTCAGTGGACTACTCTGTCCATGTTTAAGAATGGAAAAGTGTGGGACCAGCAGATAGTGTAATGGTTATATTGCTGGACTCCCACGTAGTTGACTGAAGTTTGAATCTCAGACCCAGAGGCTTAATCCTCATGCCTGTGTGTGTATGTGTGTGTGTGTCTGTGTGTGTGTGTGTGTGTGTGCACCTGCCCAAGATCCTGAGAAGAGAATGGAGGAGAGGGAACTGTGGCATGGCCATCCCCCCTGTGGGGTGATTTCTCACTTTCTGTCTCCCTGTCTCTCAGGTGAGTGAAAACATTCTAAAAATCTCTCTAAAAATAAGCATGCTAATGTGGGTATATAGTTATTAAATACAGAGTTCTAAAGAAATTAAAAATAGAACTACAAGGACCAGCAGATGGCATAATGGTTACATTGCTGGACTCCCACATGGCTGACTGCAGTTCGAGTCACAGACCTGGTGGTTTCAGACTCATGCCAGGTGTGTGTGCATGCGTGCCCAAGATCCTGAGAGGCGAATGGAGGAGAAGGGATTGCAGCATGGCCATCCCCCCTGGGGGGTGATTTCTCGCTTTCTGTGTCTCTGTCTTTCTCTGTCTCTCTGGCGAATAGCAAAAATCTCTTAAAAAAAAAAAAATAGAACTGCTGACCCAGCAATCTCTCTTCTGGGCCTATACCCAAAGGAAATGAAATTATCACCTAGTAAAGATATCTGCACTCCAATGTTTATTGAGGCACTATTCATAATAGCCGTGATTTAGAAACAAGCTAAGTGTCTATCAATGGATGAAAGGATAAATAAACTGGGACACACACACACACACACACACACACACACAATGTAATATTATTCAGTCCTAAGGACTTTCTGCCATTTGCCATAGCGAGGATGAAACTGTAGGACGTTAAGCTAAGTGAAATGAGTCAGAAACAGAAAAACATTGCATGATTTACTTATATGTATAATCTAAAAAGAAAAAAAAAGTCAAATATATAGAGGCAGAGAAGGGGTAAGAGCCGATAGCTTGGGAAGAAATGAGGAGAGAGGTTAGAGGTTACAAAGTAGCAGACATATAGGATAAACAAGTGCAGAGAGCTGCTAACATACAACATGAGAACCACAGGTAATAAAATTGCACAGATTTGAGATCACTACTACATGTGTACATTTTAGCTGCTCTCGCCACAAAAACAAAAATGAAAGGATCCCTATGGGAGTTGATGGCTATGCTAATTTGCTTGACGATAGCAACCATTTCACGAACTGTATCCCATATTGTAAGTATACACAATGAAATGTATGTAATTTTTTAAATGTAATATTAAGACTTAGTAAATCAGAACTAACGTTCTAAAATACCAAAAGTGGTTATATTAAGAGTATAGATATTAGATCATTTGAAAATTATTTCTTTGGGGCCAGCAAATGGCATAGTGATTATATCGCAGGACACCTGCATGGCTGACCACAGTTTAAGTCTTGGACCTGGTGGCTTGAAACTCATGCCGGATATATGTGCATGCATGCCCAAGATCCCTGAAGAAGAATGGAAGATAAGAGGTGTGGGTTGGCCATCCCCCTTGGGAGGTGATTTCTCTTTTTCCCTCTCACTGTCTTTGTTTCTCTCTCTCTGGTAAATGCACATGCCTTAAGGCGAAAACCTCTAAAAAAATCTTTATTTTCTAAAACTCATATATTCAAAAATGGTTTTATTATTTCTATATTCATAAAATAAAACATTGGAAAGGAATCAAATAAAATCTTTATGGGGACCAGCAGATGGCATAATGGCTATGTCGCTGGACTCCCATGTAGTTGACTGCGGTTCAAGTCCCGGACCCAGTGGCTTAAACTCACGCCGGGCGCGTGTGCATACGTGCCCAAGATCCTGAGAGGAGAATGGAGGAGAAGGGATTGCGGCATGGCCATCCCCCCTGGGGGGTGATTTCTTGCTTTCTGTCTCTCTCTGTCTTTCTGGCGAGCACACATGCCCTAAAGCAAAAGCCTCTCAAGAAAAAATGAAAAAAAAAATCTCTATATAAATACACACACATGAAAAACTTGAGACATTATAATCAATATCTTTTTTTAAAAAACTATTTTATTTAAATTTATTTATTCATTCATTTATTTTAATTTGACTAGAAAACGAGAGAGAGATACAGAGAGAGACAGGAAAGTGAGAAAGCAAGCCACCAGGTCTAGGACTCGAACCATGGTTGGCCATGTAAAAGTCTAGCGTCCTCAACCACCCTGTTACCTCCCAGCCCCTCTACATCAAAATCTTACTAGTGTCAAAAAAAAAATAGTGTTAACTTCTGGATGACCAATGACTTCAATAGTTTTTCTTTCATTTTATTTTTATTTTCAAAAATATACAAGCATTACATGTGTAATAAATAACATAACTATTAAATAAAACTAAAAATTCTGTACACTGGGTTTTGGGAAAAGTCATGAAATTTTTTTTTAGGCGAAAATGTGTCATGACTTTTCTGATGCCCCAATAGCATGATTTACCTTTGGTGAAAAAAACCCACAACCCTGACACAGAAATAAGAAATCTGGAATGAAAAAATCAAAATAACATGTGCTTAAGTAGGTTTTGGAAGGGCATAGTGAAGATTTTTTTTTTTTTTCTGAATACCCCTAGACATACCTTGGGGTAACATGGAATGATAAAATTACCAAGGCTGAGCATCACTGTTGCTGACCAAAATGAGAATTTTCTTTCTAGCCCATTACTTTGGTTCGCTTTCACCAGCACAGACTCACATTCATCAACATCGGGGAATTGCAAAGCAAGTGCTGATTGATGGGTCCAAAGGGATTTTTAAATGTAGGATCCTGAGACTTCAGAGCATGGGCTTCTGTCTCTGTTAGGATGTCTGTGTTCCTCCATGCAGAAGCTGGATTTCATCCAGGGCTTGGCCAGTGGCAGTTTACCACAGAGTATTTCCTTAGGTCTGGGTCTCTATTATTTTTTTTCCCGGGGGTGGGGTGTTGTTGCTGAGATGCATGGTGTGATTGGTCCCTGCAAGTGGCCAATGAGAAGCACTTGCTTCTGTTAAAATGATTGGCATTTCAACCAACACTGACGTTTTGATTTTCTATCCAGTCTCCCATTGAAAAGGTAGAGGGAAGGCCCCACTTTCACTCTGAGCACCCTGCCTCCCTCTCATTCCTTGCCACCTTCTTTCAAACCTCTTCTGATGCCTCTAGTGCAGATATTATTACAACACAGCACACACAATGGTACACACCTTGGTCTGTCTTGTGTTTCTTTATTATTTTTCAGTGTATGGCTCTTGATAAACTCCTTCAGGGTAGGAGTCACACTTGTTAAACTCAGGATTCTGTATGCCTGTCTGATAGGCGGCCCTGAATAGGTCATTGTTGGAGGTCCTGAATTCTAGTCCCAGCTCACCTTCCCTCTCTGAGCCACTGTTTATTTTGTTCGTTTTTGTCATAAATGAGAGGTAGGACTGACTGTATTCAGAATCACAAGGTGTGCAAAGAGGGGAACATCAGTGAGTGAGGCAGGGCAACTCTGATGAATTGTTCTCAGAAGGTTCATGATCTTCTTGACCAGTTTCCCCACATTTGAAAAAGATATGGCTACTAGGGACTACAACAGTCAATGACAACTGAGTACTCGGTATTGGGATACTTAGGGAGTGATGGGGACTGTGGCAAATGGAAAGGTCATGACTGTAAAGTGCTGTTGACTGTGGTTACATTAAAATGGAGGCCAGTGTTCGGGTCCTCAAGAATGTCAAGAAGAGTGGGGGTCAGATGGTGGGATGGTGGTAAACATGATGCTCTAAGAGGCTGACCCACATGAGAAGGTTGCAGGTTTACATGCTGAGAACCCCTTACCCTGGGCACACTGGGCATGTGCATACCCACCATCTGGGGCTGCTGGAGCTGGGGTGGGGTCAGTATCAGGAGCCTGAGTGCTGAGGCTGCCTCTTTCTTTCTCACTCATGGAGGAATAAATTAAATGAACTTTTTCCCCCTTTTTTAAGAGAGCAATTTTTGCTACAGGGTGCGTGCACTCACTGGAGAGACAGAGAGAGACAGAGAGACAGAAAATGAGAAATCAGCCCCCAGGAGAGATGGCCGTGCTGCAGTCCCTTCATCTCCATTCTCCTCTTGGGATTTTGGGCATGCATGCACCCTCGTCCAGTATGAATTTTCAGCTGTCAGGTCTGGGACTGGAACTGCAGTCAACTTTGTGGGAGTTCAGTGACATAACCATTACGCCATCTGCTGGTCCCAAGAAACTTTCTTTCTTTCTTTTCTTTTTCTTTTTCTTTTTTAAATTTTAAGCAAGGTATGTAGCTGTTTATGTTAAATATCCTGATTTCTAAATGTTGGCAAAATCTTAAGAATAGTAGAAGACAAACATAACTGCAAGCTCCATCCCGTCTGAGAACTGAAGGTTTGTCTTATTGCCCAATTATTCTACCCCAGCTGACAGAGGGTGCTGCTATGTAAACATAAAAAGGTTGCTTACACAGTTTTCCTGAATTCATTTCTAAGAAGAGACCTATTTCATCAAGAGCAAGATTTAGGATTTAAAGCCCCCTCTGACATTACCAACATGAAAATGATAATGCCTACCAAAGAAGCCAGACATTAAGCAACTGGTTTATGCTTTCTTACCTGCTCACACCAGACCATCAGAGCTGGCTTGACGGCGGCAGAGGGATCGGAGATGATGTGTGGCAGGTACTCTCAGCTGGAAGACAGGAAAACAACGGTGGATGGACCATCTAAAGAAATGAAGGGGATTTGAAGGCGGCTAGAGAGTGAACAAAGCCCTTCGTGTCATCTTCTGCCCACAACGAAGCTACAGGACACTCCCTGCCTTTAGGACCCCACATGTGTTTTCAATTTTAACATGTACATCACATGTTTTCAATACACCATTGTCTAAAATATCGGCAGGGCCCTAACCGTTGTAATTTATCTTTTGTACTCTATAATTTGGAGCCGGTCAGGCCAGAAAGGAACATCTGCACTGAAAGCTTGAACTCGACACAGTTTCAGGTTCTACACCGAGCCCCTTCTCAGGTCAGGTTCCTCATAAACTTCGTTATCACTGTTGGTTTTATTCATTCTATTTGACATATTAAGCTTCTGTATCTTGGCATAAAGGACACAATATTGCAGCATATTGGCAAGCTCATTTGCTTTTCCCAGCTAGTGTTGTGTCCAAATATCAGTCCCCAGGGATAAACACGTGTATATCGACTGCAGGAAAATGAAGCGTAGCAGCAGGTGGCCTTTGCTGCCTAATGAACATGGCAATCTGTTACCATCACCGCGGCGCTTTTCACCAGACAATTAGGCAACTAAGCATGTAATTATTCAGGCCAACGAGAAGAGGCTCTCCTCTAATTTCATCTTTTCATTGCTGTTTACTCACCCACACTCCCCTCATTAGTGAGAGATTTTCCAGTCTATGCTAATTGGTTTCAATAACATTCATTTCCGTTGAAAGAGAACGATTCCGTTAATTGAGAATCGAAAGAATCTTTTCATTTTAAGTGCGTCCTGCTATGGAAATCTGAATACTCTCAACAGGTTCGAGCTAATGAAATTAAGTCACACCACCATCAGTGGTGTAATAGAAATAAAGTAATTTATTTTCATTGAAGCATGTGCTATAGGTCCAGAACAATTAATACAGCTTGAAGAGGAAAGAAACTTGGAAAAAAAAAATAGATTGAGGATAAATGAGATGATTTCCCTTAGAATGACTTGTTTAATTCCTGGTTTAAACCCCTTGTCCATTTGGTCTCACTTTCAAAGTATTTAAAGTGAAGAGAAGTCATTTATAAAATGACACGAATGCTAATTGTCTAAGAAAAGCAGTGTATTTTGTTCTGTAGTCATTTAAATGTATCAGGATGACTCAATTGGTTAACTGCATTGGATATTTTAAGCTGAACAAATTTATAAAATATTCACACCCAAACAATCGACTAATATTCACTCCCAAACGTACTAATACCTATGAACATTTTAGTCTTCTTTATGTAGGGCTAGCATAGTTGCACGTGTGTGGCTTAGAATTGTATCAAGTCCCATGTCATAGTTTTTATCATTTCATGGCACTTGGAATCCACCATAGATATTAGGGTATTCAGGTACTGCACTGTCTGTTCCAGGAATGGGCAGGGACATAATTTTAAAATGGCATGCTAACAATGGATTTATATAAAAATACTCCTCTAAATAAACGAAATTATCCAAGAAAAAATATCTTAAGTGTAAATGAAATAGAAGTCTTTATTTTGGGCTACATGTTACAATTTTATATTGACAAGATATTCTCCGTTAGAAGACTAGTATATTTTCTTGCTGGCAAGAATTTATTTTTAAAGCAAATCTCTTCCAGTTTCAGAGAGTGAAATATTGAATATATTACTTTCACACATACAAAAATGTACTGATATCATGACACTTTTACCAAAATTCTCATATCTTATTTAGTTGTTATTTTTTTAATGGAATAATCAATTTGAGACCATTTGGGTTGCTGTCAAACGAGCTGCCTGTGTAAAAATTTCCCTTTCCTTCTCACTCACAAGAACCAGAGTTCTGCTGTGGTGTATAGTAGGAAGTACGGGTTTGCCTGCTTCTAGAAGCTCATAGAGATGCTGGTTGGAGGATGGGTGGGGGTGGTGTGTTATGCAAATGTTGTCTTTTTTTTTTTTTTAGTTAGATTCAAAAATGCATAATGGGGACAGACTTACAAAATAATACACTGCATAGCGTTATGAATATTTCAAAGAATTATTTCTTTATTTTGTGCATAGCTCAGAGTGCTGACATTTGATTTATAGCTGCATGGATGTACCTGGGGTTGCTAAGGTTACCCAATTTCATTCACCCATAGATATTTGAGATCTACATAATGCCATCACATCCTCCACTGCATTTCAAAGTGATGTTGATAAATGGTGCCTTCCTTAGATGATATTTCCATTTAGATGTGATATATCTCATGATTTCTGTCTTTTAAAATATTGTGGTTGATGAAATTTTACATTATGTGCATATACAGAAAGCAGGAATACATATTTTTTTTTCAGTTTTAAAGGTTGGAAAAAACTATGAGTGGGCTATCCCTCCCCCTTCCCCGCCCTGCACCTATTCCCATATGTTGAGGTTTACTGTGACTAATATTGAGTTCTTTTTTTTTTTTAAAGAAAAAAAGCCCACATTATTGTTTGTCTTATGTTTAGAGATATAACAAAAGACTGGTTAGTCACCTGTAATCATTTTTATGATATTTCATATCTTTGCAACAAAAGCTTGAGGTTTTTTTTAAAAATGAAAACACCTTTCGAGATTCTGATAACAAACCTATGGGAATGATTTTTCCCAAAAGATCTTTTGAGAAGTAATACTTAGAAAATACATGTATATTATGCAAATATATATATACACACATGCATATTTATAATACATAATACACATATACTTTCTACATATCTATAATACATAATTTCTAATATATTTATATATAATATATATAAAGTTTACAATATACATTTTCTTATTGCTTACAAATGATCACTGGTCTTTTAGCTTGTAATGTATCCCAGTCCTTGAAAGAAGTCTGGTTTGGGCTTTCCTAACTTCAAAGGAATAAGGGATTAACTATATGGAAGAGAACAGTTAAAAACTCAAAATATTCATAAATTTTCCTGAGAAAAATAGAGCCGGCTCCATGGGGCAATAAAGTTGGTGGTGGGGAGAGATGAACACATACCGAAAGCCATGAGCCTCATATGAAGATCTAATCTGTGGATTATATGGTTTCATTTCTCTCTAAGCAGCTGGGTTGAGTTCCATAAAATTAGTTTTTTATTTCCCTCATCTGAGTGAGAAAACAGTTATGGAAAAGGCTGGAATGATGAAATGTAGGAAGGATTTATAGGGGCCCATGGTTAAGGCCTTAGGCCATGCTCTTTGGAAGGAAGAGTGAGGATGGCCAGGAGTAAAGGGTGGGGAGAAAAGGAGGAAGAGTATGTTGGCGGTTGGGAGAAGAGGACCATTGGATTTTGGGGCAAGATTGAGGAGGGGTGATGAGGATGCTGAGGATCTCAGTGAATGGAGAGGGAAGGAAGAGGTGGACTTGCCAATGGGCTGAGGAAAGTCACAGTGGATGACAGGGTCCACCGTATTTGGTGCGGTTCTGTGTTATGAATAGTCCCAGGAGGTTACAACTTGGTAAGTTTGTTGCTATCATGTCAACATTGGAAGAATTCACACAAAAGTTCTGATATTGGATTCTGCAAATCAAAAGATCAGGCAACACTGAGTCTGTATTTTCAAATGGAGCAATTGGATGGACTTGAGTAGCATCTGACCCCTGTATAAGACTATGCCTCTCCTGGTTGCCATGGTGACCCTCCCTCCACTCAACTCTGCGAGTGTACCTTGTTCCTTTGGGCAGGTGAGCACACTCCTGCTCTAAGCCTTTCCAATAATTTTTTTTCTATTAAGATTTTTGCCATAAGTTATGTGTGTTTGCTGGAGAGAGAGAGAGTGAGACTGAAAAGAAAGTAATCAGCCCCCAGGAGAGATGCCTATGCTGCAATCCCTCCTCCTCCATTTGCCTCTAGGGATTTTGGCCACACAGGCACACACGCCTGGTGTGGTTTTCAAGCTGCCGGGACTCAACTCACAGTAGGCCATGTGGGAGTCCAGAGCCTTAACCACCATTTCACCTGCTGGGCCCTCCAATGTTTCAAGTGTAGGACCAGAATCCCTTACTTACAATTCTGAAATCCCCAAAAGCTCTGAAAATTAAAATGTTGTCTCCATAATCTTTGGCAGCAAAATCTGATCTGCATTTGATGGCCAAACCTGCTGCGAGCTGGCAGAACACTATTTTCAGTCTCTTGCCTATTTTGTGTAACTATTATATGTTTTCTGAAAATATTAACACGTCTTATTATGAAGTGCTATCCCAAACCCCACTTAAGATGCTACATGATATATACACTAAATTTTCTTTCTAAAATTAATAAAAAATCAGAATAACAAAGCAATCTGTGTCCCAGGGTTTGTGGATCGATATAGCTATAGCTGTGCTTTTGTGTGGACCAGAGGGACATTTGTACTTACTTTTTATCTTTTTACTTTTCTTCCCCCATTCCATCGTTGAATCACTATTCATTAATCACTTACTTATTTACCAGACGCCATTGTAGGCTCTCAGATACAGTAGAAAACAATGTGATCTTTGTTTTCTTCAGCCTTATACTACATATGAGGAGAAGACCCTAGGTTAAGGAATAAGATCATCTCAGTGATTTGAAGAAGATAAATTGATAGGATGGAGAATTACTCTGTATGGTGTGTGTGTGTGTGTGTCTATGTATGTAGTTTCTCTAGACTGGTTAAGAAGACCTCTCTGAGGGATGACTTTTGGGCAGAAATGATGAGCAAATCAGCCACTTAAGGAGGTAAGCAAGAGTGCTCTGGGATAAGTGAAAAGCTACTGTAAAAGCCCCAAAGCCAGAAAGAACTTGAGTGCTTACAGAAGTGGAAAAACGTATACTTGGGGCAACCCTGGGTCATTGATGGAGAAAGTGCAAAACGTGGTCAGATACAGGCCTGATGACGGAGGGCCTCGTAGGGCGCTGGAAGTGTTTGGATTTTATTCTATAGGCAATGGAGGCTGTTGGAGGCTTTTAACTATGGAAGTGACGGAATGCATTTTATGTTTTCTAGATATTACTCTGTGAAATGGCTACATCTGTGTTGTTAGCATTTGTGGAATGAATAATTTGGCTATATAATTACATATTGCATTTAATACATAGGTCCTCTGCAAGTAAGAGAGCCCCAAATAACAGTGTGGAGGTCGGCAATCTAGGCTGATATTGCAGTTCAGATGAATACCTCACGGTGGAGTCCCCTTTCAGCTCCTCGGTCCACTATTCCTAGGTATAGCCCTCATTCTTGTTTTAGAGAGATTTTTCCTATAGGGCACATGTCTTTGCCAGAGAGACAGAAAGTGAGAAATCCCCCCACCCCCAGCCCCGGGGAAGAGCCATGCTGCAATCCCTTTTCTTCCATTCTCCTCTCGGGATTTTGGGCATGCATGCACACGTGCTGGGTGTGAGTTTGAAGCCACCAGGTCCGGGACTCAAATTGCAGTTGATCATATGGGAGCCTAGCGATGCAACCATTCTGCCATCTGCTGGCCCCATAGCCCTTATTTTTATGGTCTAAAAGAGCAGTGAGAGCTCCAACCATTTCATCTTTCTTCCAGCAGCATGATAGAGCAAGTGAGAAAGAACATGTATGAAAAGATTTTTTAAGGAGGGTTCTAGGGGAAGCTGACATATGACACCTCTGTTTCTAACTCATTGGGCAGAACTTAGTTGCCCATTCACATTGAATGCAAGGAAGTCTGGGAAGCATAACTTCATTCTGGGCAGCCGTGTGCTCTGCTAAAACTCAGGAGTTTTACTAC